GCGAGATGAGGTGGCGCAGTATACCATTATAGACTGCTTACAGTAGTGTGAGAAGTTCATTTCTTGATGTGCGTGTTTTATATGTTGGTCTTAAAAATGTTGTCCAAAAAGGCCATTGTTCTGTGACATAGATTGTGATATAAGATCGGTTACATATGAAGGGCATTACTTATTAATTTGTTCAAACATAGTTACAAGTTTTTGACTTTCCTTCTATACACTAATGGCTGCCATCCAGTTCTGTGAGGTAGGCTGCGACGGGAAGAACATTTGGTTAATCCTGTTCATATGAGGCACCGTTTTACAATTTAATCCAGATTCAAATATTATTTTTTGATATCACAAAATGAATTATTGATATCACAAATTCGAATTAATGATGCCATAAAATAGTTATTGATATCACAAACTAGAAGTTTATATGTAATATAATGAATTTGTGATATCTAAAAATGTGATTTGTGATATCTAAAACTATATTTTATGATATCACTAAATCGAATTTGTGATGTCTAAAAGTCTTAATTATTTTATATCATAAGTTCAGTTTTGTGATATCAATAATTCAGTTTGGGATATCAAGCAATCGAATTTGTGATATCATAAAATAGAATACTGTAGCCGTCCCAAGCTGTAGTTATTCTAATGTATTAGCATTATAAGAAGAGCAACTGTGTTCCTGACAACTGAGGCATATTCTAATGTCGTTCAGATAAAAACAAGATTCATTCTTGCAAGTTTGATATGCTTAACCGATATTTAAGTTTTCTCATTCATGGAACCAGTTTTGAAGAACTTGAAATAATATTGTCAACGTTTCATTCAGTGTCCGGCGTGTGACAGTCTACCCTTTCTAAGCATTTGTTAATATTGACAGTAACGGGTGATCTCGCCTAGATGAACATTAATTACCAAGCTAATTGTCGTTCATTTCCATATGAACGTCAGTATGTCGTGTGAAATGTTACATTTTCAATCGATTGGAGAGACGCAGAACTACTTTAGGGGAATCCCCAAATGTCTAAAAATAACGTCAAATAGGGACGGTATCACACACCGGCGCAGTGGTGACTTAGCATGACTGCCACAGGCTAATTTGCATATCACGTGACCGGACTTTCTCTTGTTTGTAAACGTGAAATCAGAACAGATTGGCCTAATGTAAGCCTTTTGGGGCGCTCTACATCTGGTTTTGCATAATTATATAAATATGCTACAACAGCTGCGACATTGAGGTGTATGGCAATTAGGAAAAATACCAGAGACCATATACCGGTATATGGTCTCTGAATATACCTATGTTTTGAAATTAGTCATAGTATAACGGAGTTATACTAGCTCAAAATTTTATATAACCGAACACGTTATAAGATTTATGTTTCAAGATTTTACATTTGGAATGGAAAAAAATAATTCCGGTAGACTATACAACTACACAAAAAGTATATAATAAATAGGATATTCCATGTGTCGAGTGAAATATCATGTTTTTCTCATCTCGTGACTGGGGAAAGGAGATAATATCCTCTATGTATTATATACTTCAGCGTGAAAGAGTTTTCCCGAAGTTGAGAAGAGTGATATTTTCGGTGTAGTGCGAGCATAACACTTGATATATCACTGCCGTGAATATAACACTTAATATTTAACTGCAGTGAACATAACACTTGATATTTAACCGCAGTGAACATAACACTTTGACAGATTTATTATCATACAAGAGTATAATTTACAAATACAAACTCTTCCCCTGAAACCGCCTCCGTGGTCTTGTGGTAGAGCGTCCGCCCGGAGAGCGGAAGGTCCAGGGTTCGATCCCGGGCCGCGTCATACAAAAAGACGTTAAAAGATTGTACTTGTTGTTACCCTGTCTGGCGCTCGGCATTAAGGGGCTAAAACAAGGACTGGTCGGCTCGGAGTCAGTATACTGTGTCTGAGTGGGGTATTCATGTTAAAACTGCGGCATGGTATCTCAGTGAGCTAGCACTATAAATCGGCATCAGTCCGGACTAGTACAAGCAGCCACACACACACATACACGTGCATGCACGTCGCTATATAAGTGCAATAATCTTGGACGCGACGTTAAACCCAATTTCACCTCACCTCTTCCCCTGAAGCTCCTTCTCAGCGCGTGACAACTCGGTATCATCGCTCGGTGACAGCGCGATAGTATAGAGAGCTCCGCGAACGGGATGCCGCTGTGAGGAGCTTGTGTTCCATTTATCGTAAGTGTCTGGCCCGTACTCAAACTGTTGACTTCCTTTTACGCCAGTTACACATTGACTGGGCAAAGTAATAATGTCTAAAAAGGAGTTAATATCGCTTCTTGCCGTTTGTTATTCTCTTGAAAATGATTCGTTATAAAATGTAAATTCCACATTTAACTCGTCAATTGAGACTGTTCGTTACTGTTTTTGTGGTTGATTTTGTATATAATCAAATCGTATGTATGTATGTATGTATGTATGTATGTATGTATGTATGTATGTATGTATGTATGTATGTATGTATGTATGTATGTATGTATGTATGTATGTATGTATACATTTGTATGGGGTCCACAGGCCCAAGTAAATTTCAGTTATATATAGTAACACACAATTGAGGCAATTTACATTGAAAACATCACTAAGGGTACAATATTAGAGCTTCCTTCACATAGTTAGCTACATTTCTGAGTATACAGTCATTTTGGCTATTTAAGAGATGAAACATCCCGCCCAATCAACACCAGAATGAAAGAGCACAAAACCTCCATCATTAAATCCGACAGTAAATCAGCCATCTCGAACCATATCAGCAACTGTCCTAATCACAACATCAACTGGGACTACGTCCATGATTTCACTTAAAGAAAACTAACAGAAGCAGTCCACATTCGCCGCCACAAGCCATCAATCAACAGAGATCAAGTCTATTTCATCCCATCCGCCTACTATGAACTCATCAAGCAATAATCACCACACCTATGTAAACTTATCCTGTTTAATTGGCTTCATGTCCCATTGGCTTCAACCTATGTGTTCTCTGTCCATCGTGTTGTGACAGTATTATATAATATACTCTTCAAAAAAAGAAACTTGACACTGACTTTCAAAATGTAATATAATGCGATTGTTTCAAAAAAGGACAGAGAAACCATAATTCAAACACTGTTTGAAGATCAATGTACACAATGTTCAAAACATTAATCGTGTCACCTAGACAGACACACGTCCACGATACAGTTAATGTCACAGGGGTGCAGAAAATTTCAGTATCGGTTGTGCCCACCACGTGCATCAATCACCGCTTGACACCGACGACCCATAGATGCAATCAAGTTGTCAATAACACGCTGTTGGATGTGCTGCCATTCATGCTGAAGTGTATCAAGTGTTTGGGGCGGTGGATTCCTTCTGTGAACGCGTCGATCCAACTCGTCCCACAGATGCTCAATCGGGGACAAATCTGGTGACCGGGCTGGCCAAGGTAGTGTCTGGATGTTGTTGTGCTTTAAGAAGTCCTGACAAACACGTGCAATATGCGGTCGAGCGTTGTCCTGCTGGAACTGTCCGCCATGAACGTTGACGTGAGGAAGAACGTAAGGCTGTAGGATCAAGTCTCTGTAACGCACACCTGTCAATGCACCTGCCACATGCACGAGAGGCGTCCTACCACCGTGATGAATTCCGGCCTATACCATGACACTCCCGCCGCCAAATGGGACAACCTGCTCACAGTCGGGGGCGTAACTTTCACCCCGACGTCTGTAGACACGTGCGCGCCCATCAGCACGTGTGAGTAGGAAACGGGACTTGTCAGTAAACAGAGTACATTTCTCCACCTTGCACGTGCCCATCTAACCCTCTGTTGGCACCAAAGCAGACGGTCCGCCAGATGACGTGGGATCAATACATGTCTTCGTGCAAAAAGTCCAGCCTCCCTCAGTCTGTTGCGTACCGTTTGATCTGATATCCTGCGTACCCCAGGGATCTGTGTGGTAGTAGACGTGGCTGTGGTAGTGCGGTCTCGGAGGTGTCGCAGCCGGATGTATCGATCTTGTGCTTGGGTTGTCACCCTTGGTCTTCCTGACCTTGGTCTGTCGTCAACTCTACTGGTGTTGTTGTATCGGGTCCACAGTGCGGAGATTGTCTGTCTGGATACGCCAAAGTGCCTGGCCACTTCTTGCTGAGTTGCTCCAGCTTGTAATCTCCCAATGGCGTTGTTCCGTTGAGCTGCATTCAGTCTTGGCATTCTGTCACCGCCTCTACTGCCGTTATAAGGACTGTATGAATAGCCGTTGATGTGGATTTTTATACCCATTCAGCAGGGGGGCCTGCATGTCTAAATGCAGGATCCTGTGCTGCACGTTTTTTACAGGCGGTTGCGTTTGGATGAAGCTGTAAAATTGATCCCCAAACGCTACGTTTATGTGCTTTGCATGTGTTTTCGCGAATTATAGACACATCATCTTTCTGTTTGACTTATTTGGTTCTCATTTAATGTAATTATTTTAGATATTTGGCAAAAAGTGGTTTTACATCTATGTCAAGTTTCTTTTTTTGAAGAGTATATATATATGATACTGTCACAACACGATGGACAGAGAATATACATAGTAGGTGGAGGATTAACAGTAACAACAATTGCATATATATATATACATATGCAATTGTTATATATATATATATATATATATATATATATATATATATATATATATATATATATATATGCAATTGTTGTTACTGTTAATCCTCTACTGTTAATCCTCCACCTACTATATATATTCCGTACTATGTCCCTCTCTCAGTCTTGCTTGACAACGGTATAAGGATCTATACCGAAACGTCGCTTTTTACAGTATTAAAGAAGTTGTTATCCATAAAGTTGTGTCTACATTGATTATAGGTGAAGATTTTTTTTCTACGATTTTGTCAATAGGATTGAAGTTGTAGTTATTGACGTTCATCAGCTGATGAGGACATTGCCGCACGTGGGCAAATGTACCTTGATGCGCTTCGCGCATCAGGCATTTAATCACTCCTCAAGTGAAGACTGCAGATGGTGTTCTCTTTAACCAACACACCTTAAAGTTACAACAACACCTTGTGAATAGGACTTACTTCATGTTGAAGTCGGTGTGAAAAGGTAAGTGTGAAATATGCTGTGTTGTTGAATACTGTGAAGGATTTGGGGTGGTGGGGTTCATTATCGTTGTCGCTGTAGGCGTTTAGTATGATGACTTTTTATGTAACAAGTGTCTTTATGTGAAAAACAGTTCGCAATAAAGCAAATTAATTGAATCCAAATTCAAATTGATGATGAAAATGCCACGGGAATTATGACTTTACAGTTATAACCTCACGGCGAGTTGTGTGCTATTTGGGGGCAGAGTTGCGTCCCTTTGGCACGCCAGAAACCTGTGATTGTGGGTTCGAATCCCGGTTCGCCCCGATTATGTTTCTATGTTGTGTCAACACCGAACCCGTGCTCGTGGGTTTCACCGAAGTGGTGAACGTCTAAAGCCTACATCACTTCGGGCTTTCATCCCACATCAAGCTGTATCGCCGTGATATAACTGGAATACTGTGCAAAAAGTGGTATATATTATTGCTTATAAGATGCTTCGTTCTCGTGCCTTAACTATTATAGATGCATCTTAGAATAATAAGCGCCGGGTCTCTAATAGGTGCCGGGTACGAGGCAGCGTTCAACACAATAAGCGCCGATTATTTTTAATTACCTCTCCATGGAATATATAAAAACTTAGAAAGAAATTTGTTGAAATTATTGCACACATATTTGTAGCAGTCTAAGAGTTTATTCTTCGTTATAATAAGAGCTATTCCGTTTTGTTATATGGTTCAAAGGGTTTGTATTTTTTTTCTGGATGAAAATTTGATCCTGCATGGGAAAACCTTGAAAACCCTCACTGTGAGCTTGCTATAGGGTGAACATATTCTTTAGGGGGGTGAAAATGTCGACTAGTATTTATTGCCCACTGGACAATTTTCAATTTACCGAAAAGTGTAAAATAATTGAGACTTTCAGTTGGTGGTTGTGTTCCCAAGCTTCTGTATTCTACAAGTCTCGTAATTAAACCGAACCGAACAGGGTCTTAATGAATGGAAAGTCATAAACTTGTATATCTCGTCCTTTCCGACAACCCACAGGGGCAGTCGGGTAGCCTAGTGGTTAAAGCGTTCGCTCGTCACGCCGAAGACCCGGGTTCGATTCCCGGCATGGGTACAATGTGTGAAGCCCATTTCTGGTGTCCCCCGCCGTGATATTGCTGGAATATTGCTAAAAGCGGCGTAAAGCCATACTCACTCACTCACGCTGACACACACAATGCTGCTGTATCTACTCGCCCCGTCCAGCATACATCGACGTTATATTACTTCGGGTATGACTATGCAGCTATAGAGTTGAGACCTGAATGAATCGTTACGTTTCGGCTTGCATAGCGACCCCAGCTGCCTTTCTGGTTATCCATGTGGTTATCCATCTTGTATCTTGTACCAACGTTAAGGTAACAAGTAACTGTTGTTTGTGTATGGTTTACATGTTAACTTATACTACTCAAAAGAAGTTAAAGAATCCCCTATTCTTTCACATTGCTATAGTTAATCTGTTGATTATCTTTTCTCTTGGGCCGGATTATTCTAATCCGTCAAAAAACCTGGAAACATACCTTCTTTTCTTTGTTTGTTGTTTAACGCTGCACTCAGCAATATTCCAGCTATATGACGGCGGTCTGTAAATAATCGATTCTGGACCAGACAATTCAGTGATTGACATCATGAGCATGGACATCATGAGCATGGATCCCCGCAAATTGGGATACGATGACATGCATCAACCAAGTCAGAAAAACAGTAGTTTATTAAATTGAGAAAAGAATGATTAAACTAAAATGACATATTAACGAGTGTGTGTGAGTGAGAGAGTGAGTGAGTGAGTGAGTGAGTGAGTGAGTGAGTGAGTGAGTGACAAAGTTTGATCAGGGTGACAACATCCAAGGCCTCAGTAAAGAGTTTGAAAAGGTTTTTGGTTGACATTTCCAGATTTTACGCATCAGTGACAAAATCATGTCAACTTGTACATGTATTTTGTACCCGTGTTTTTTTTCAGGCGAACAATTGACTTGCCTTTGCATGTGTCTGTGACAGGTGCAACCAGTGGGACAGGATACGTTTACCCTTTCGCGAACACCTAGTGTCATCACTCTTTGATCGTGATTAATAAACATATGCTTATGTCATTGTACGATTCCGGTGCAATTTAAAGAAAAATATATAGTTGAAATTATTTTCTCAAATTGACAAAATAAGTACTAAAATAAAGAGACGCACTTACGCTGTTTTCTCCCGTATAGGACATATACTGCCGATAATGAAACGTGAGTGCGTGAGAATAGGGTTTCACGCAATAATCAGGTCACATCACCATAATAGACAAGAAATACACTGCCGGACAAAAGAGGGTATACATTTAAACGTCACACTTCACGCTTGTTGTTGCCGTTTACTGTGAATTTGCGACCTCCGTGTTTCTTGAGACGTAATGTGCACGTCATCTGTTGTGAGATTCCTATTGGTAGGATGCATGTAATATCGCTCATGATGCCCGTGTCAAGTACACCAAAATCCAATAACCATTTCTTGTTCGTTTCAATCATAGCCTCAATCAAATATGCAAGAATAGTTTCTTTTGCCCGGCAGTGTACAATAAATATCTCAAATTCGCCACCCATAAATAAAGCAGCATGAACTTGTAAATAATACACTCACGGGCCAAAGAAACTATACCAAACTTTAAATCATAATTTGTCGTATTTGAAATCCAAATATCTAAACATAACTGTAAATTATTTACCTAAGCAACCAACACGTGTGTTTCTGAAAGCCACATTCTTGTCACGGGATCTCGTGCAAAATGATTAACCGCCAAAGTTTGATGCACCTGCAACGAGATGTGTTTTGGACAGTTTGGGTATATTAAGCTGCGTAGCTCTCTTCTCTGGCGGGGCGGTGGGGTAGTCTAGTGGTTAAAGCATTCGTTACGCCAAAGACCCGGGTTCGATTCCCCACATGGGTATAATGTGTGAAGCCCATTTCTGGTGTCCCCTGCCGTGATATTGCTGGAATACTGCTAAAAGCGGCGTAAAACCATACCCACTCACTCTTCTGTGGCACTCAATTCAGCGTACAAACACCACGAGCATGCCAGGGCCATCGAGAGGTAAATGGCGGTAGCTATGATACAGGTGGGAGCTACATATAACCACGCGTGACAAGTTTTCGGTTGCACCCGCACGACAATCACCTGGTCAACGTCAAGATGTATTTACTGTAAAAGGTTGGCAACCGTATCAATAGAAAAACATGAGAGAGAGAGAGAGAGAGAGAGAGAGAGAGAGAGAGAGAGAGAGAGAGAGAGAGAGAGAGAGAGAGAGAGAGAGAGAGAGAGAGAGAGAGAGAGAGAGATGAACTTCATAGCCAATTCAACACAGCTAGACCCTATGGTAACATTCGTACTGGACTGAAAAACAAACGATTTCTTAATACGCCAACCAGTTTCAGCACTTTTGCTTTCATTTGTGTTTTCTTCTTCTTGCCTTTGTTTCCCTTCGAACCTTGGTCTGGCTTGATCCCAATGAAGCACCTGAAATTTGAAAGATCTTTTAGGTAAACATCAATTTTATTGATTAATTAATTGATCCAAGTGTGCCCGTTGTCCTGTTACATACAACGTGACAATTTACACTCAGCGATAATTCAATGTATATAAATAATTAAACATACCTTTGTATAAACTCCAGTGTTACGGCAGCACCTGGCAGGTACTCAAAGTTGAAGATGAAATACGATGCAAACAGGGCGTATAACGAGTCAATAAAACTCTGACACCTAAAAGACGATGATCTGATGGTCGCACATGTTAACATTATTGTGATACCATGATAATCACAGACATGACATATTCAAAATCAAAGTACACGTGTAATTTATTGGTACTTCATCTTCTTATGCGCTTACGAAAGAGTTATTAACAATGTAAATATTGCCGAAGTGTAGACAGTAAATACAACTGGACCGTTATCCTTTCATTTCAATTACATATTTAATACCACCAACATGGGCAGGTCTGTCTTACTGGACGTCTGAATGTCACAGTTTGGACTTCCTAGACAAAAAAACAAGGAAGTGAGTGAGTGAGATGGGTTTAACGCCGCTTTTAACAGTATTCCAGTTATATCACGGCGTGTCAGCTTAATGTGGGAGGAAAGCCCGAAGTGATGAACAAATTAGTCACAGTGATCATGACGTCAACGTCAGCAGCTGTCTTTGGACGTCCTGTCAGAAGAAGAACTGTATCGAAGTTTATTGCAAGCACTAGTTGAGGAATGGCATCGCATCCCACCTCAAGTCCTTCGAAGTCTGACGTACTCACCGTTAAGTGGTGGGCACACACGATACTGACTAAATGTGTGACAATCATGCTACCAGGACAGACCTCAAACGGTTCACCAAGTGCATTGTTGAATATACCCCACAATTGTGATTGTGCCCCTATATATAGTTCATGTTATCAAATTACTATTGAATAATGTTTTATGTTCATGCAATATAAGGGGCGGTCGGGTAGGGTAGTGGTTAAAGCGTTCGCTCGTCACGCCGAAAACCCGGGTACAATGTGTGAAGCCCATTTCTGGTGTCCCTCGACGTGATATTGCTGGAATATTGCTAAAAGCGGCGTAAAATAAAACTCACTCACTCATGCAAAATAATGTCTTTGGCAATTACAGCTATCGCTTTTAACAGTATTACAGTTATCACGGCGTGTCAGCTTAATGTGGGAGGAGAGCCCGAAGTGATGCAGGTCTCAGACGTTTACCACTTCGGTGAAACCCGTGCACGGGTATGGTGCTGACAAACCTAGAAACATAATCAGGGCGAGCTGCGGCGCCTTAGACGACTGGTCCCCCGTGTCCCCCGTTACTTTGTAAATTGGTATACATGTATGTATACGTATGAAGATCCTGTACCATAAGCTACATTGTCTTTTTTCTGATTATCATTAGTAAATATTTCACCAGATGGAGCTATTGTATGCTGCTTTCGGATACCTGGTTCTCTGCATCTCCACCTGTGGTAAGTACCAGCCTTCGATTATTAAAATGTCAGTGAACTGAGCCAAACGAGGGTACCACATTTCTGTCCGTGAAGAATAGGTCTTCAGCAACCCATGATTGCCGTAAAAGGCGACTATGCTTGTCGTAAGAGGCGACTAACGGGATCGGGTGGTCAGGCTCGCTGACTTGGTTGATGCATGTCATCAATCCCAATTACGTAGATAGATGAGCATGGTATCAATCACTGGATTGTCGGGTTCCGACTCGATTATTCACAGACCGCCGTCATATAGCTGGAATATTGCTGAGTGCGGCGTTAAACAACAAACAAACAAACAAACAAACAAACAACATTTCTGGCAATCAGCCTGAGTAAATCAATGTTAATCATGCACACCTTAGGAAAAATACCCGAAATAAAACGTGTAAAATGCAGTCTTAGATACAATACAAAATGTCTGTCAAGAGGAGAAACACGACAGCCATGTGTTTTGCTGTAATACACAACGATGAGAGATTAACACGTGTTACATCATTTGACAAAGCTTCCATTGGACCTTGTCTACTTTATGGATGTAACGCCATAAGAAGTTCAACACAAGGCGTAGCACATCAAACAGATGCAAAATCATCACCAAAGTGGCAGTATTGATCCTGCAGTGTTTACATCAACAAACGAAAGTTAAATTGCCTGACGCATGTCAGAATACATATATTCTAGTATCAACACCTAGTTAATTATATGCGTTATTTTTTTTTCAAGAATGAATGAATAGATGGACTAATTAGCTTTAACGATGACGTCACTTTGAGGCTGTTAACTAGAGCATCGCACCAAGGGTTCCGTTAAGCCATATGTTCCTTCAGTGCTGTGGGGGTTTGGCGTCCATTCCCAAAATCATAAACACGATATGTAAACCATTATTAATATTACTTCAAAATGTCTTCATTGAAGGTAACATTTAAGGGTTTTGTTTTGCTTTGTTTTTAAGTTTGTATACTGTTGCTTCACACATTGCGCATCACACATATAGTTGTTGTACACTAGGAGAAGAGTAGGTAAAAGCTTGGCCAATACTTGTTGAAATAGCCAATATCATAATTAACATTTGCAATGTATTTTGTTAGTAAGTAGTGTCGAGTAAACTCCCATTAGATGTCCTGGAAAATTGGCATTTTGTGTGGAATTCTTTTGTCAAATATGATTTTTTTCAGCACTAATATCATTGTAATGATTGTTTTGTAAGGTATATCCTTGTAAAACGTTTTGGTTGGGATATGAATATCTATTTTCCTCTTTATTGGGTTGCCAGTTTTCCACCCTACTTGGTAAATTTAACGCTCCAAAACTATCCCGTGAGTTGTCTCTGAAGATTGGAGGCGAACTGAACGATGATGATGTCTTGAAGTAGTTACATGTCTGAAAAATGGCAAAAGTCCGGGACCGGATTGGTGTCCTGCGGAATTCTTAAACTTCTTCTGGAATGATATTGGTAAATACTTAATAAGATCTCTCATTTTTGCATACAAAACAGGTGAACAAATTCTGTCTTGATGTAGATGATGTGGTTGATATTAACTTTGAAAACAGGTTCCAGCAATCTGAAGCGCTGATGTCAATATGGTCAATAAGACACTAAACGCCTTTTGGTAGGACTACTATTCTCAAATCACTAGTTCTGCCCAAAACAATATTATTATAAACACAATGTTTTATATTCTTGTGGGGAAATAAACCAAACAAAATATAAAGCTCCCAAATAATATGTGATACTAAAGATGGAGGTATTAAATGCCCTACAGAAGTCACACAATCTCAACCGATTTCGATGATAAGACGAGCCTTTACAACCCATTCTACATGTGTTCTATAGTCTTTTTAATACCCCCGTAATAACGGTCGAAATGTGTACAAGATCAACAGCCGTAAGCATAAATCATATATATATATTATCTAGAGTAAACAATAAGTTCGATAAATATTTACTGATGTCTTGGTGTGCTTTCGTGGACGGTCTAGAAAATAATAATATTCCTGCTCTTGGCATTCTCTCACAAAATGTCCGGTGGTGACAACATACAGGTGGCGAAGGAAACGGTGGTCTACCAATCACGGTCCACAAACGGATTTATTAATTATCTTATGCATGAAACGGTGCCACCCCCAGAACCCCCGCTACTGGAGTCAACACTAAACAAGTCATGTAGTAAACATATGTCATAGAAGTTTCATCTTTCATTGAGAAAAATATTCTAAAACGTGAAAAACCATTTCCATTTGCGAAGTTATCCTTTGTTTACGGCTCCACGTGCGAGCTAGCGATACGGTCTTTGATGTATAAACATATATTGTCATGCACTTACTGTGGCAGTTGTAGTAGCAGATCTATATAATTATGCATAACAATATGTAAAGCGCACCGAAAGGCTTGCATTAGACCCGTCTGTTCTCATTTCAGAATAAAAGTATTTGGTCTGGTCACGTAAAATGCAAATTAGCTTGTTGCAGTGGTGTGATGCTAAGTCTTCACTGCGCCGGATTGTGGCAAGTATCATGTCAACTGTGAGAATACAAATGTAATCAATTGTTATTGATTCTTTAAAAATAAATTCATAATTGTGTTTCTTCTATTTTCTTTGGCATATTGGGCTACATACGAGTTTGAAAACCTCTCAGAAATTTTATTAGCGACGCCCGAATTATCTTCGTAAGCTCTTGAAAACAGAATAGTATTCAGATTGTATTGACCAGATATTGATCAGGTCGCTTGAATGCAGTTTGAGTGTCACACTCAGCTACCTCATTTCCTCTATTTCCACGCCGAGACTTTAATGCACGCCGGTCTCTAATTAACGTCGGGTGATATATAGAGATAATCACTCTCTGTTTTCCATATCATGCCCCGTATCATCCTGAGACACCCGTACTGACCGAGGCCGCTGATAATTTTTTATCACGTAATACATACTCAAAGTTTGCAAAGGATCACCACTTTAAAAGGTAATACTTGAAAGTTTGGGCATGTGTTGAAATAAACAAAGACAATATTGCGTGAAGACATGTTTAAATAACAAAAGTCCGATGGCATGTGCCACAAAATGCCAACAAACAACATGTGACCAATAATCAGTTACATCACACGTCAAAATGAGAGTATCCAAAAATGAAACGTAACAAAAATCCCGAATACAAATTCTTTGTCCTAAAAAAATCCAACCCTCAGTAGCGCGTATGTGATCCACCCCATGCGAACACAGCCTGGCACCATCGTTCCATGCTGCCGATAAGTGCTTGGATGTTTGCCAAGTGAAGATTGTACCACTCTTCAGTAAGAACATTGCCGTGTTCCTGTAGAGTTGCCGGAAGAACAGGGCGTCGTGAGAGGGCGACCTGCAGCTCGTTCCATGTGTTCGATAGGGTTGAGGTCTGGTGACCGGGCTAGCAACTCCATACGGACATTGGTCTCCTGCTCTAAGTAGGCATCAATGACCCTGGCACGATGAGGTCGTGCGCTATCGTCAATGAGGATGACGTCCGGTCCGCATACGGTCTCACGTACACATCCAGAATGTCATCCCTGTAGCGCACACCTGTCATCGTGTCCCGTCGTAGGACATGGAGATCAGGTCTTCAAGCTCTTCCGATCCCAACCCAAATCATGATTGAGTCGGTCATATTCGGCTACGATGGAATCCTGAAATCTTTCATGATTTCATGTCCATGTCAACGCCACAGTCGGGCGATCTGTGAAGTCTGGAAAGTATCTCGATTTACAAGTGAAAAGTACTCGAGCCCAAGTCCTGGTCTGGCCAATGGACGTGATCTTCAGCCTATTCTGTGCCTGTCTGTGATGTCGGGTCAGTGGGGTGCGAATGCAGGTCCTCCGTGACCGGAGACTGACATTCTGCGGGTCATTTCTGAGTATGGTGGCAGTCACGAAGTGATGACGTCTGTCTGCAATCAGGTGTGGTGGTTCGCTGTCGACCACCTGCATGTCGCTTGCTAGCTGATCCAAACGTCTGGTTACCGATTCCATGGCCTGCTATTCACATTTTGGCTGACATTTGCAACGTGACGTTGTGTTGACCAAGTTTCAAGCATGCCTATGCATCTGCTAATTCTTCGGTCGTAAGGGAGCATAAATGCATTCATTTGTTGCAATCCTCAGCAGCAAAAGTTGCTGTGCTCTCTGATAATGATGTGTAACGATTCTCTCACAATCCATTCAGACAAAGCTTTTCGTGCACATGACTGCATGTCTCTGTCCGTTCATCACGAAACTGACGTCCTATAGGTTTACCCAATCATGGTGTCTATTCGTTGGAAGATTTTTTTATATCATCAAAACTTGATCCTTAGCAAACTTTGAGTAGTATACTAACCGAACTGTCATATAAACCTTGTCATATAGAGATCGCGAGTTTTCCCGTCGAATCCCCAAATGTATTGCCTACCGTCAGCAGCCAACCTTCAAACAATTTCACATCTCAATCAGTCTTTTCGTGTTCGCGTTTTTAATACTGTCGACATAAGTCTTGCGATTTTCTTAACTTCTATTAAAGAACCAAGCTCCATTTACTCTGCTTGTCGTACAATGCGTCTAACGGGGTTGGGTGGTCAGGCTCGCTGACTTGGTTGATGCATGTCATCGATCCCAATTGCGTGGATCGATGCTCATGATATTTATCACTGGATTGTCTGGTCCAGACTCGATTTTTTACAGACCGCCGTCACCAGACAACCAACCATTATTCTTGCGGACAGGGAAGCAAGGGTGCGTTAACCCGTAGATCAAACCGTCGCCGAAAGCAAAAATGGAATAAATAGAGACATCTGCTATTGTGACGCCATAAACGCCCCATGACGTTGTGTACAAAACTCCGCTAAATGATACGGGTTATCAGCCGCGTGCCTCAAGAGCGAGACGTAGTGTATCAAGTGATAAGCCCTAATACTGTAATACCTTAAAGAATATTAATGACCGTTTCCTGCAAATGTACCCTTAGTATGACTGAAGAATGTGGGATTCGGTAAGGTCGTGAACTGCCACTGTGGCAGCAATAAACAGCCCCGTCAACGGCTTGCGAGAAAAAAAAATACACGGCCGGGCTTCCAATAGAGGAAATACGGTGTCTGGCAGCAGCCTGTAAATAATTGAGTCTAGAAAAATATAGAACTTGCCATCGATCTGTATAATTTTTGTGAGCTAACTGTGAACGAAATAAACAAATAATTTATGGACTTCTCTATTGTTCAAGACAGTCTTGCTTGATAACAGTACAGGATCTGAACCAAAACGTTGTTATTACGGTACAATAAAGGAGTTCCTATCCATCAGTTATTTGTCTACTTTGTCATCAATCAAATGCCTATAAAACAATACTTGTGAACGACGATGACTAGACTAGAATGAGTCTCTATTTTAAAATATATGAACACTATCCGAGGTATGGTTTATTAAAACTATTTTTATTCTTTACAAAGTCCCTGGGCCCATGTTCATACATTTAGCAGGATTCATTCTACAGTGCTTTTTTCTCGTCACGGGTGAGTTGAGGATTTATTGGAATCCCGTTTTGCATTTTCATTTTCATTTTTAAGGATACATCTAGAGTGTCAAACAGACCCTGAAGCAAGTATATCCAAAACAGCCCATGCAAGTCTGTAATAGTAGGCAAGTCATACAGACCCTGAAGCAAATATATCCAAAACAGCCCATGCAAGTCTGTAATAGTAGGCAAGTCATACAGACCCTGAAGCAAATATATCCAAAACAGCCCATGCAAGTCTGTAATAGTAGGCAAGTCATACAGACCCTGAAGCAAATATATCCAAAACAGCCCATGCAAGTCTGTAATAGTAGGCAATTCATACAGACCCTGAAGCAAATATATCCAAAACAGCCCACGCAAGTCTGTAATAGTAGGCAAGTCATACAGAACCTGAAGCAAATATATCCAAAACAGCCCATGCAAGTCTGTAATAGTAGGCAAGTCATACAGACCCTGAAGCAAATATATCCAAAACAGCCCATGCAAGTCTGTCATAGTAGGCAAGTCATACAGACCCTGAAGCAAATATATCCAAAAAAGCCCATGCAAGTCTGTCATAGTAGGCAAGTCATACAGACCCTGAAGCAAATATATCCAAAACAGCCCATGCAAGTCTGTCATAGTAGTCTAGATTACTGCAGTGTCAAGAAAATGCAACGAGTCTCTGTCCTCCTTTTAATTATATTTTTGAAAGAATATTTAACAATATGTTCATTTCAGAGACTAGATGATAGTCTAAGATAAACCCAAAACGGCAAAATTTATCAAATAAGCACATTGGAATCAGAATCAGTGTAACTCCATTCTGACATTCATATACTTGCACAAGGCACAGGACCTTTCAGCGAAATTCATGGATATTCGCACACCAAGCCACTCTCGCTAAAATACCCGTGAAGACCCGGGTTAGAAAAGATCTTTAGCAACCCATGCTTGCCTGTCGTAAGAAGCCACAAACGGGATAGAGGGGTCAAGCTCGGTGACTTTGTTGGTGTATGTCATAGCATCACAATTGCGTAGATGGATGCGCATGTCAATCACTGGATTGTTTGGTCCAGACTCAATTATTTGCAGACCGCAGTCGTACAGCTGGAATATTGCTGAGTGCGGCGTAAACAACGAACTAACAAACAAAACAAAAGTCCTATTGCTTGACACTCCCAGGTACACAAGCGGCAAGCTACCAAGGTCGGTACCTGACGTACAGTTCCACCGCCGTATCATGGAACACAGCCTACGCTACCTGCTCCACGAGTGGGGGTCATCTCCTCACTGTGGACAACAACGTCACCATCAACGCACTCAGCTACATCCGTGCTCAGCCCGTGGCGGCAGCAATGTAAGTCGTTTAGAAATAAATGTTAGAAATAAAGAGAGGTTAATTTCAGATTGTTTAGATTTCACACCACAATTCCACGTCTAGGTAAAGCAACTCCCAACTAGTGTGGATAGTGGATAGAGGGTTTGCCCGGAGAGCGGAGAATCGGTGGTCGTGTCATACGAAAAGACGTTAAGAGATGGCACTTGTTGTTACCCTGCCGGGTGTTTGGCATTATGGGGATAAAACCAGGACTGATCGGCTCGGAAACCGGCATTAATCGGACAAGCACACACGGTACCTGGAATTTAAGTCTTATATCCTAGCTCGTATTAGACCCCAGCTCTTATTATTGACCTTTATTCTGTTAGGTATGAAATATGACGGTAAAATAAATGCCATCTGGGAAGTTCTATGATCGGGTGTCGGGCACGTGACGGTTTTACTTGCTACACTTAATTTGGAATGTTTTCATGAGTGAGTGAGATGGTTTTAGGCCGCTTTGAGCAATATTCCAGCAATATCACAGCGGGGGACACCAGAAATAAGCTTCACACATTGTACCCATGTCAGGAATCGAACCTGGGTCTTAGGCATGACGAGCGAACGCTTTAACCACAAGGCTATCCGACTGCCCCTGTTTTATGAGATTACAATGAACGTTTTCCAACAGCAATGATCATGTATACCCGACCATACACCTTTCCACATCACTATTTCTTGTGGTTCCCATTTTGACTAATTTTTACTGTTGAAACTCTGTTATCCATGCGACCACCTCCGTGGTCTAGTGGTAGAGCGTCCGCCCGGAGAGCGGAAGGTCCGGGGTTCGATTAAAAACATACTTCAGCGTGGACGCGACTGACACCAAGTTGCAAGACATACCTGGGCCCACTTGCACAAAGGGATCTTAGCGCTAAGATGATCGTAACTACCATACTTTAACATAGGCTTACAATAGTCGTAGCACTAAGATCGCTTTGTGCAAGTGGGCCCTGGTCGCAAACATGGGGTGCTTAATTAATTCCCATGTATATAAGTCACAACCATGACAAGTGTGCATGCATAACTCGGCAGGGAGTGAGTGAGTGAGTTTGGTTTTACGCCGCTTTTAGCGATATTCCAGCAATATCACGGCGGGGGACACCAGAAATGGGCTTCACACATTGTACCCATATCGGGAATCGAACCCGGGTCTTCGGCGTGACGAGCGAACGCTTTAACCACTAGGCAACCCGACTGCCCCAACTCGGCACGGAAGGAGTTCAGTCTGTGGGTTCAAGTGTCGTCGGTTATCTGAAGGTTGAACTCTACAGACATCGCAATGACATTATTGCGAAATATGTTCAAAACATAGCAAGCATCTCAAAAGGGATGTCATCTGGCGATTAAATGATTGAATAAGTTTGGATTAATGCCGCTTTAATCAGGTTGATTATGAAATATTTTCTAAAGTAACCATGGTAACGTATAAAAAGTTTTGATTGCTTCTTTTTGTTTAGAATTATTGGAGTGGAGATGGACATTTGGATTTGAAAAACGAGTACAACCATTTCTGCAATTACTTTATTATTTACACAGCTGAAAGTCTGATCACTGTGTATCAATTATTAGCAAAGTTATTACTACTTATGGCTTTAAATATATCGCTTCGGAAACCACAAGGACCTTAAAACAAGGGGCGGTCGGGTAGCCTAGTGGTTAAAACGTTCGCTCGTCACGCCGAAGACCCGGGTTCGATTCCCCACATGGGTACAATGTGTGAAGCCCATTTCTGGTATCTCCCCGCCGTGATATCACTGGCATATTGCTTAAACCGGCACAAAACCATACTCACTCGCTTAAAACCACAAAAACCATTCCTCAAGCACAATGAGAAAGATATAAAATATAATTCCATGGCACTCGCTGAGTAAGTTACAAGGTGAATGGTCTGTTAAGGCTTTGGTTGTTATTCTCTTTAGCTTCGAAAAGTATATGTTTACAGTAAAGATCTTACACATAAAAAGCTACGAGGACTGTTTCTTGATTGGACATCGGATCCATTGTCGATGCAATGGCGGTGGGATATTTCACGTATCTTGTTGACAATACTTTTTTGTCTGCCCCCCGATCCTTCGGGGGGCACGGGTGGCCCAGTCGTCTAAGGCGCCGCGATTCGCCGTGCAGAGTTGCGTCCCTTTTTGCACGCCAGAAACCTATGATTGTGGGTTCGAATCCCGGTTCAACCCGATTATGTTTCTAGGTTTGTCAGCACCATACCCGTGCTCGTGGGTTTCACCGAAGTGGTAAACGTCTGAGACCTGCATCACTTCGGGCTTTCCTCCCATATTAAGCTGACATGCCGCGATATAACTGGAATACTGTTAAAAGCGGCGTTAAACCCAACTCACCCACCCGAGCCTTCGTCGATTTCAAAGGCAGTGAACGTCGTGTTGTATGGCATTTTATTGACGCTTCTTTCTTGTGTGCCGAAAAAATAAAATATCCCAACTGTCTTCCGCTAAATACATCGACAGGGGATGTGGCGTAAAAAAGAAACAACCATTTTAATGTCCATTACTGTTAAACGTATGAGTGTTGCTCTTAAAGAGAAATTGATAATTAAAGCCATAACAAGAATTACCGTTAACTTTTTAACTAACTCAGAGAGAGCCACGAAATTTGCAACCTGTATCACGGTGCGTGAGGGATGAACTATTTTGGTTTTAGCCGCCGACTTCAAACAAAAAGTAGAAGTCTTTAGTTTCAAATTATAAAACCTACGAAGGTTTTTGTTCGACTTACCACCTGTTCCTCCCTGGATGCATCATCCCCTTTTTATTCAGGGCTCGCTTTTCGGTAAACCTTGTGTTTTTACGCATTTTATGGACGCTTCTTTCGACACAAAAAATGAAATCTCCCCAATGCCGGAGGATCTGGTGCAAAGTCAAACAAAAACACTGACCCATTATGTTGAATGTCCATTGCTGTAAACTGTTCCTGACCGAGTTACATAGTTAATTTCAATTTCGGTTATGGCTGAAAATGAAATATTGCCGCCAAAAGGTGTTTCTTGACAGGCAGACCCGTGAAGATCCGGGGTAGAATGGGTATTAGCAACCCATGCTTGCCGTAAAAGGCGACTATGCTTGTCGTAAAAGGCGACTAACGAGATCGGGTGGTCAGGCTTGCTGACTTGTTGATGGATGTCATCGTGTCCAAATTGCGTAGATCGATGCTCATGATGTCAATCACTGGCTTGTCTGGCCCAGACTCGGTTATTTACAGACCGCCGTCATACAGCTGGAATATTGAGTGCGGCTTTAAACAACAAACAAAAAAACAAAAACAAAACAAATCTTGTCAGGCATCCAAGAACAAAACATGAGCAACTGTCCCTTCTAGGATTCTGTTGAAATCTCAAAATAGAAATCTTAAAGCTTGTAATGTTTTTATTTATTTTATATCTTATGTTGTTCTCAGTTGTGAACTCTTCTATGAGGTAAAATGACCATATAAAATAAACTAAAACAACCAGTCATTTCAGAATATATTGACAAATAACCATAAAAATACTCAGCAGAATTTGAAATTTCAAAATATAGTTAAATTCAACTCCTGTTTCATTTTTATGTTTGCTAATCATATTAAATAAAACTTCAAAATTACCTGATTATCTTTGTCGTGCTCTTTACAAATATGATAATTAAGAACATGCTCACATCTATGACTGTTTTATGTTCCTGGAACAGTTCAATAGACATCTGGATGGGATTGCACAACACAGAAACAACCTCTGACGTCCCTGTGTACGTCTGGGCCGATTGCAAACATCTCGACGACAACACCGCCATCTGGTATCCCGGAGAGCCCAACATTGTGACGCTTCACCGCTGCATAATTACCTCCCCTGAATACGAGTGGAAGACCAGGGATTGTACCGAAGCACACGCCTTCTTTTGTGAAAACGCTTTCAAAAGTAATTATACAAAATCAGTTGGAGTTATCGTATCCCCTCACACAGCTGTTGTTTAACATATTTTTTTATATGTGGGAACTACGGTTTAAACACAGAAAAGTGCCCAAATGTGCGCTGAAGGATCTACTTCTTGATTGGCTAAATTGTTTAAAATGTTATTAAAACCTATTTCAAAGTAGACGCAAATTGTGGATAACAACTTCTATGTTTTACTTTAATTGGGACGTTTAGGTATATATTCTTTGACCGTTGTCAAACAAGGCTAAATAATGAACATGGTACAGAATATAATTATATAGTAGGTGAAGGATTAACAGTAACAGATACGAAATCGTGTTATCTGTCCCTAGGCCCCGTTCCACAAAGCGATCGTAGCGCTACGATTGTCGTAAGCCTATGTTAAAGTATTGGAGTTACGAGCATCTTAGCGCTAGCTGGTCTAATAAATCAATTGAGGGCGAAGATTATCAAGCATATATGATCCTTTTTTTGTGGCCGAACTCAGGAATAATCCAGCTTCATGTATATGACGCCGGTCTGTAAATAATCACATATGGACCACACAATCTAGTGATTGACATCATGAACATCGACCCACGCAATTGGGATACGATGACATCCATCAACCAAGTCAGCAAGTCTGACCACCCGATCCCGTTAGTCGCCTCTTACGACAAGCATAGTCGCCTTTTACAGCAAGCATGGGTTGCAGAAGACAGACATATTCTACCCCGGATCTTCACGGGTCCGTTTTGCAGTGAGGCGGTCGGGATTGAAAATTAAATAATTAGTTTCTATCTTAGTGGTAGCGGTGAGTGAGTGAGTAAGCGGTGCATGGCTTCAAGAAGAAGCAGCTCGTTGCTGCACAGCAGTAGGTGTGATTAGACGACCTTGGAACTACAACAGACCGCCTGCGTGGTCTAGTCGTAGAGCGTCCGCCCGGAGAGCGGAAATTCCGGGGTTCGATCCCCAGCCACGTCATACCAAAAGACGTTAAAAGATTGGACATGTTGATACCCTGTCTGGCGCTCGGCATTAAGGGGCTAAAACAAGGACTGGTCGGCTCGGAGTCAGTATACTGTGTCTGAGTGGGGTATTCATGTTAAACTGCGGCATGGTATCTCAGTGTGCTAGCACTATAAATCGGCATCACTCCGGACTAGCACAAGCAGCCACACATATACACGTGCATGCACGTCGCTTTATAAGTGCAATAATCTTGGACGCGACGTTAAACCCCATTTCACCTCACCTCACATGTCTTCATGGTTAACAAAACGTCTGTCGGAGACCTATCTGATTTTATACAGGGTACTTATGACAAGGTATTTGTGGATACAGCGCCATTTCATTCATCGTAAGGGATTTTGAAAGTTTTTTAAATGTTTGTTTGTTTGTTGTTTAACGCCGCACTCAGCAATATTCAAGCTCTATGAAGGCGTTTTTTAAAAATGAAATTAATTCCAGTCCAATAATGTAAACTATTGGGTAATAAAATGTTACTTATCAATATATTTAACCTGATGTCCAAACCGCAATCACCAAACGTTTTATTTTTAAATTGTTTGACTTTTTACCGAACGCCTAGACAACTCCCTGTCACATGTCTGCCCTAGCAGTTCGTGACACGTGTTTATCGTAGATATGTTATAGAACTTTACCCGAACCGATTCTGGTAAACTATCACATGCGTTTCTCACTGGATTCGATTATTTACAGACCGCCGTCATATAGCTGGAATATTGCTGAGTGCGGCGTTAAACAACAAACAAACAAACTTATGTTTTAAATAATTGGTTTTCGGTTGACAGGTGACTGTACCTTCGAAACAGCAGATGAACAAACGTGCGAAATGGGTGGTGTGCTCTTGGAAAGTGAGATGGAGAACGACGCATGCGCAACTCGATGTCAAGAGGACATGGACGGAAGTGACATCTGTTGGGCGTATGAATACAACACGCAATCAAAGCAGTGCAAACTTTTGTTTGGGTCTGACCCGTACATGTGTGAGACACTGCAAGCGAATAAGGGCTACGTCACAGGCAGAAGAAGATGCTTCAAATGTAGGTCACATTCCACGTATTCTTATCAACGCATATATATTAATACCACCCTTTGATGATCTGGTCTTCTGCAACCGATGCTTGTCGTAAGAGGCGACTAACAGGATCGGGTGGTCAGGCTCGCTGACTTGGTTGATGCATGTCATCGTATCCCATTTTCGTGGATCGATGCACATGGGTCAGTCACTGGATTGTTTGGTCCAGACTCGATTATTTACAGACCTCCGTCATATAGCTGGAATATTTGTGAGTACGGCGTTAAACAACAAACCAACCAAAAAACAGGTTGCAGGTTTGTTGTTTTAAGCCGCACAGTTGCTCATGTTTTGTTCTTGGATGCCTGACAAGATTTGTTTGTTTGTTGTTTAACACCGCACTCAGCAATATTCCAGCTATATTACGTAGGTATGTAAATAATCGAGTCTGGACCAGACCATCCAGTGATTAATATCATTGGCATCGATCTACGCAATTGGGATCGATGACATGCATCAACCAAGTCAGCGAGCCTGACCACCCGATCCCGTTAGTCGTCTCTTACGACAAGCATAGTCCCCTTTTACGACAAGCATAGTCGCCTTTTACGGCAAGCATGGGTTGCTGAAGACCTATTCTAACCCGGATCTTCACGGGTCCAACCAACAAACAAGTAAATAGACCAAATGGAGACGGGTGACACAGCCGACCAAAACGAAGTTTGCTATGCCAGAAACCTTTAATCGTGTGTTCAAATCTCATTTCACCCTCATCATGTTTCTAGGTTTGTAGATTTCACTGAAATAATAACCACCTAAGACCAGAGTTGTCACAGCATATTAATATAGAGTAGGTATGTGTCGAAAGCTTTATATCAGACCAGAGATAAAAATAACCACTTTACATCAGACGAGAGTAAAGTCAACAGCTTTACACTAGATTAGGGGTTAAGTCAACAACATCCTGATATATACTGATTTTAGGTGAGGTGAGGTGAAATGGGGTTTTAACATCGCGTCCAAGATTATTGCACTTATATAGCGACGTGCATGTACGTGTGTGTGTTTGTGTGGCTGCTTGTACTAGTCCGGACTGATGCCGATTTATAGTGCTAGCTCACTGAGATACCATGCCGCAGTTTAACATGAATACCCCACTCAGACACAGTATACTGACTCCGAGCCGACCAGTCCTTGTTTTAGCCCCTTAATGCCGAGCGCCAGACAGGATAACAACAAGTACCATCTTTTAACGTCTTTTGGTATGACGCGGCCGGGGATCGAACCCCGGAATTTCCGCTCTCCGGGCGGACGCTCTACCACTAGACCACGGAGGCGGTCTGATTTTAGGCCATGGTGGACATGTTTAAAACGTGTGATCATGACGAATACTGCCGCAGCACTGCATATTGTGAAGGTGTAGGGGACCATCATCGAAATATGCGTTCAGTGTGTTATAACAATTACAGCAGCAAACCGACAATGTTATTCACTACTATATTGGATGTTTAATACTTGATTTAACACAAGCAGAGTCGCTTATGGTCGTCAAGAAATATTACATGTATTGAAGGAAAACCTATCACCGATGGATATTAGATCGTTTTTTGTACTGTGGTGCTATGACAGTTTCTGTGTAAACTTGTTGTCTTAGCAACCGGCCATATAACATTAAGGTTTTCAAGTTGATTAATATTTGGTAATCCCGACCTCTCCCGCATATGTCAATTGTTCGGTTCTTTCCCTTTGATACTTCCTTCCCTCGATACTTCCTTTTCTTGATACTTCCTTGCCTTGATACTTCCTTTCCTTGATGCTTCCTTCCCTTGATGCTTCCTTCCCTTGATACTTCCTTCCCTGGATAATCCCTTCTCCTGATGCTTCCTTTCCTTGATGCTTCCTTCCCTTGATGCGTCCTTCCCTTGATACTTCCTTCCCTTGATAATCCCTTCTCCTGGTGCTTCCTTTCCTTGATGCTTCCTTCCCTTGATGCGTGCTTCCCTTGATACTTCCTTCCCTTGATGCTTCTTTTCCCTGACGCTTCCTTCCATTGATGCTTCCTTTCCCTGACGCTTCCTTCCCTTGATACTTCCATTCTCTTTACTAATCTTTCCCTTGATACTTCCTTCCCTTGACTCATCCTTCCCTTGATGCTTCCTTTCCTAGACATCCTTCCCTTGATGCTTCCTTTCCTTGACTCATCCTTCCCTTGATGCTTCCTTCCCTTGATACTTCCTTCCCTTGACTAATCTTTCCCTTGATGCTTCCTTTCCTTGACTCATCCTTCCCTTGATGCTTCCTTTCCTTGACTAATCTTTCCCTTGATGCTTCCTTTCCTTGACTCATCCTTCCCTTGATGCTTCCTCTCCTTGACTCATCCTTCCCTTGATGCTTCCTTTCCTTGATACGTCCTTCCCTTGATACTTCCTTTCCTTGATACGTCCTTCCCTTGAAACTTCCTTTCCTTGACTCATCCTTCCCTTGAAACTTCCTTTCCTTGACTCATCCTTCCATTGATGCGTCCTTCCTTTGATACTTCCTTCACTTGATACTCCCTTCCCTTGATGCTTTCTTCCCTTGATACTCCCTTCCCTTGATGCTTCCTTCCCTTGATACTTCCTTTCCTTGACTCATCCTTCCCTTGATGCGTTCTTCCCTTGATACTTCCTTCACTTTATACTCCCTTCCCTTGATGCTTTCTTCCCTTGATGCTTCCTTCCCTTGATACTTCCTTTCCTTGATACGTCCTTCCCTTGAAACTTCCTTTCCTTGACTCATCCTTCCCTTGAAACTTCCTTTCCTTGACTCATCCTTCCCTTGATGCTTCCTTCCCTTGATACTCCTTTCCCTTGATGCGTCCTTCCCTTGATACTTCCTTCACTTGATACTCCCTTCCCTTGATGCTTTCTTCCCTTGATACTCCCTTCCCTTGATGCGTCCTTCCCTTGATACTTCCTTCACTTGATACTCCCTTCCCTTGATGCTTTCTTCCCTTGATGCTTTCTTCCCTTGATGCTTCCTTTCCTTGATGCTTCCTTCCCTTGGTGCTTCCTTCCCTTGATGCTTCCTTTCCCTGATGCTTCCTTCCCTTGATACATCCTTCACTTGATACTCCCTTCCCTTGATGCTTTCTTCCCTTGATACTCCCTTCCCTTGATGCGTCCTTCCCTTGATACTTCCTTCACTTGATACTCCCTTCCCTTGATGCTTCCTTTCCTTGATGCTTCCTTCCCTTGATGCTTCCTTTCCTTGATGCTTCATTCTCTTGACTCATCCTTCGCTTGATGCTTCCTTACCTTGACTCATCCTTCCCTTGACTCATCTTTCCATTGACGCTTCCTTCCCTTGACTCATCTTTCCCTTGATGCTTCCTTCCCTTGAAACTTCCTTTCCTTGACTCATCCTTCCCTTGATGCTTCCTTCCCTTGATACTCCTTTCCCTTGATGCGTCCTTCCCTTGATACTTCCTTCACTTGATACTCCCTTCCCTTGATGCTTTCTTCCCTTGATACTCCCTTCCCTTGATGCGTCCTTCCCTTGATACTTCCTTCACTTGATACTCCCTTCCCTTGATGCTCCCTTTCCTTGATGCTTCCTTCCCTTGGTGCTTCCTTCCCTTGATGCTTCCTTTCCCTGATGCTTCCTTCCCTTGACTAATCTTTCCCTTGATGCTTCCTTTCCTTGATGCTTCATTCTCTTGACTCATCCTTCGCTTGATGCTTCCTTACCTTGACTCATCCTTCCCTTGACTCATCTTTCCATTGACGCTTCCTTCCCTTGACTCATCTTTCCCTTGATGCTTCCTTCCCTTGATGCTTCCTTCCCTTGACTCATCTTTCCCTTGATACTTCCTAACCTTGACGCACATCCTGCCTTTGACGCGTCCTTCCCTTGATGCTTCCTTCTTCGGACGCTTCTTTCCCTGGACCTTTCATTTCTTCACTCCTATACCCATATACTATACTCGTGGGTTTTACTAAAGTGGTAACGTCCGAGGCCTGCATCACTTCGGGCTTTCCTCCTGCATTAAGCTGACACGCCATGATATCACTGTAATACTGTCCAAACCCAAGCTCACTCACTCACTCATTCGATCGACCTTTGCTTCTCTTTAGTTTCAGATATCACGGGGTCCGAGGTAAAAGGCGAATATTTTCCTACCTGCAACACAACAGAGGTGACAGCTTCACAAACAACATCTATTACAACAACGAGCGATAATACACCCTATATAACCACAACAACTGTCGCAGCTACTAGATACACATCGACAAAGGCATCAGCAACACAAGACACGACAACTACGACATCTCCATCACTCGAAACAACAACAACATCTGCACCTACAACATCAGATACAACATCAACGCCAGAAACAACACGAGACACAACTATGACATCCACAACATTCGAAACAACAACAACAACAACAACATCTGCACCTACAACATCAGATACAGCATCAACGCCAGAAACAACACGAGACACAACTATGACATCTCCATCACTCGAAACAACAACAACAACAACAACAACAACATCTGCACCTACAACATCAGATACAACATCAACGCCAGAAACATCACGAGACACAACTATGACATCTACAACATTCGAAGCATCAGCAACATCAGCAGCTTCAACACCAGATATAACAGCAACAGCAGAAACATTGGAAACAACATTCTCAGCACCAGACAAGACAACAACGACATCATCACCCTTAGACGGCAAGGCTACGTCCCAAGCTACCGATACCATAATAGCATCAACGGCATCATCTCCAACGACTGAGACTATACCTTCCACTGCAACCACGGCTACAAGAGACACTGACACTCCAACATCTACCCAAGATACATCAACAGCTGCATCTTCAGGTAATTCGACCGGAGGAGTCTACACGCCTTCTCTCACAACCTACCTGTCTCGTCTTGAAGCCACTCTCGCCAGTTCCACGTCTGCCTCTTCCCCGGCAGTTGCCTCCCTTGGTAGGCATGTCTACGAAGTCTGTGTGTCGGTGCAGACTTTCACCGCGGCAGAAAGAAAGAAGCGAACAGACGACATGGTGGATGACCTCTCTCTGGACAAGAAGAACCTCTCCTCGTATCGGAGGAAGAAGTCCAGTGCGGAAGATGAGCGTCCGTCCGCCCAGCACGTGGGAGGAGGGGTGGCCATCATGTTGCTTGTTACAGCGGCGCTCATCATCATCTTGCCTGACTGCACGAGCATCTTGATGCACGCGGTGCATGGCATCAAGAAGAAGCAGCTCGTCGCTGCACAGCAGTAGGTGTGATTAGACGACCTTGGAACTACAACAGACCGCCTCCGTGGTCTAGTGGTAGAGCGTCCGCCCGGAGAGCGGAAGGTCTGGGGTTCGATCCCCGGCCGCGTAATACCAAAACACGTTAAAAGATGGTACTTGTTGTTACCCTGTCTGGCGCTCGGCATTAAGGGCTAAAACAAGGACTGGTCGGCTCGAAGTCAGTATACTGTGTCTGAGTGAGTGGGGTATTCATGTTAAACTGCGGCATGGTATCTGAGTGAGCTAGCACTATAAATCGGCATCAGTCCGGACTAGTACAAGCAGCCGCACACACACGTGCATGTACGCCGCTATATAAGTGCAATAATCTTGGACGCGACGTTAAACCCCATTTCACCTCACCTGGAACTACAACAAAGAAGTGGAAGACGGTTACACACACTGCAATCGTTACAGAATACTCTTCATTGTTACAGAAGTATAAGAAACATATTTTAGGAGCGGTGGTGATACTTGTTACGCAGACCCACACTTTCACAAATGTGGAATAAAGGCCGTTATCCTCCCTTCAGGAATGAACAAACATCAAAAGAGATTAATATGGGAAAGTAATTAATCCTCTGACTTAATCCTATCTTTCCTATCTTGGTGGGGGTGGAGTGCGGGATGGTGTGGTCCAGTATTAGAGAGGGATAATGTTTTCTATATGTCAACTGCACTGGCCCCAATGAATATACCATATTTAGTTCGGCAGTAATAATACAAGCACGTGTGTTTTCATGCCCTTAAAATACTTTTAAGTATATTCCTAAAATTGCAACAACAATGTGTATTTGCAATTGGTAGTGTTATCCTTTGGGGTAAGGAGTGACTGCAAAATCTCAAGTATTGATGTAAATACATGGTGCGTGTTAGAAAGGGTCCCCACTCTTTTGGTCTAGAAGCAGATCTAAGCTATTTTAGAATGTAGATTCCAATATTGAAATGAAGCGTCCCACTATTAGATACCGATACAGTGTTCCCTGTTAAGTACGAGTGAGTGAGTGAGTGAGTGAGTGAGTGAGTGAGTGAGTGAGTGAGTGAGTGAGTGAGTGAGTGAGTGAGTGAGTGAGTGAGTTGGGTTAACGCCGCCCTGAACAGAATTCCAGTTTTAGCGTGTCCGCTTACTGTGAGAGGAAAGGCCGAAGTGATGCATCTGAGATACCATGCCACAAGTTTAACTTGCATACCCCACTCAGATACAGTATACTGACTCTGAGCCGACCGATCCTTCTTTTAGCCGCCTAATGCCGAGCGCCAGGCAGGGCAACAACAAGTACCACCTTTTAACGTCTTAAAGGGGAAGTGTACACGCAAAAATCACTTTCTTTCTTTTTCTAAACAAAACGCAATTTTAGAATTAGTTAGTATCTGTGTTTGAAAATATACACTCATTTTTTCTCACAGTGAAAGTAGGAAGCTCACAATAGTGTTAAAATGATATGCCGTTATGAGGCCTTCGTTTTACGAGCAAAATAGGCCTGAGTTATCCCCCTTAGATTATGACGTAATTGGTGCTAATTCAACTGGGTCCCTGTCTATTCTCAACGCAAAAGATATCAAGGACCAGTTTTTATGTAAAACAACATGGTCTACGACACACTCCGGCGCAGTGGTGACTCAGTATAACACAATTCTGGCTGGCATCTGAGACGCTAAAATCACAAAACTGTACCTACACCACGTGAAGCGGCTCTAACAAAGCATGATGACGTCATAATGTTTATCAAATGGCACCAATGACGTCATATTGCAAGGGGCATAAGCCATGGTGTTTTTGTTATGGAAATAGAACACTTAGTAAATGTGAAAAATATAAATCGTTTTAATGCAAAAAATATGTTAATTAAATATGATGTTTTTATATTTTTGTCTATGACACTTCTATGTTAACACTTTTAATGTGGAAAAAAGTACAAGAAAAATTGGTTCATTTCCGTGTGAACTTGCCCTTTAAGGTATGACGCGTCCAAGGATCGAACCCGGACATTCCGCTCTCTGAGCGGACGCTCTACCACGAGACCATGGAGGCGGCCCCAGTGCCAGCAGGACTAACAGGGCCAGTAGAAGATAAACCTACCGTGTTTTCAGGCTGCAAGAGCCAAGCTCTACACTGAAAACTCGGTATGTCAATTCGACCATGACTAAATGTGATCTCTTTGGCCGACGCAAAAATGTAGTGAAGCGACATTGGTCGAGTCCAAAGAGTGGATTGTCGATCTGAATAAGGAGAACCCCGACGATAGCCCTTAAACAAACTATGGCGCTGTTTACACGATATACGGCTTTTGTACTGGACTAGATGCCGGTCAAGTGACCGCGAAATTGGCGTTCATAAGCATACGTTTTTCACGAGTCTGTATTCTTGAAATGACGTAAATATTTAGGGGACATCCCTGGGAATTCCCTCGCGCGAATACATTCAGAAGTTTTGTTTCTGATCATTTGGACCCTATAATCTTAAACGTTTTAGCATACATTGAGGAAAAGGAGAGAGTTTGACTGTATGATCATTCACGAATATGCTCGCTACGACCCTTCCTAGTGAACTCAACGAAGAAACGCGCATCCAAACCATCTTCGTATCGACTTCATCCATGTCTAGACTGACAGTGTGAGTCTACAGTAATTTATGAATTTACCTCAGTATCTATTTGACACATCTTTATAATCACCTTTCAATGATCGACCAATGATGATGAACATTTGTAATCGCCACAGGTTCCTAGACATCTTCGGAAATCTTTTCTCCGTCACATATGTCGTGTCGGCCATTTTGATGTCTTGTCTTGACGTCGCAAACTCTGACTTTCATAGAGCCTGGCTCTCACTCTATGAAGGTTCATACTCCAGTTCACGCACACAATAATATGCATCACATTTACTTTTATCAGGTGGACGTTTTTGTCAAAGATTGAATCAAGAAGACATTTTCATACAGGTGTTTAAATGACGGACATATGAAGGTTTCATACAGGTGTTTATATGCATACATATGCATCACAATTATGTTCATAAAGTGGGCTTTTTTTGGTCCAAGATTTCATCAAAAAGACTTTCTGTGAAAATTTACATAAGGTTGAGATGCATGTGCAGTATATCACAAAGTACACATTTATGTGCAGTATTTTATAAAATAGACATTTTGTTCAAGATATCCTAAAGTAGATATTTTGCGCATTATTTCAGATTGTAAAATTTCTTGTGCAAGAGTTCATAAAATAGACTTTCCCGAAGAAGGCATTTTGCGCATTTCAAAAAGGCGTTCTTGTGCAAGATTTCAGAAAGAAGACATTTATATGGATGAATTCATGAAGTAGACATTTATGTGCAAGATGTCAGAAAGTAGACATTTTGTGGAGGATTTCACGTCAATGTAGACGTTTTTTCATGTACATGAATCCATAAAGTAGATATTTATATGCAAGATTTTTCTTAATTAGGCATTTTGGGCATGATTTCAGATTGTAGACTTTCTTGTGCAAGATTTCATTACGTAGACATTTATGTAGTAGTCATGTTTGTGCAATATTTAATAGAGTAGACATTTTGTAAACATATTTGTGCAAAGATTTCATTATGTATATATTCATGTGCACTATTTCATAAATTAGACATTAATGTGCAAGTGACCTGCTGTAGAGATTTATATTCAAAGATTTCAAAATGTATAAGGGGCGGTCGGGTAGCATCGTGGTTAAAGCGTTCGCTCGTCACGCGGAAGACTTGGGTTCCATTCCCGACATGGGCACAATGTGTGAAACCCATTTCTGGTGTCCCCCGCCGTGATATTGCTGGAATATTGCTAAAAGCGGCGGACAACGTCCCTCACTCAGTCACTCAAAATGTATAAATTTATGTGCAAGATTTTATAAAGTAGACATTAATGTGCAATATTTAAATAAGTAGACATTTGTGTATAGATGTGGGCTTATCTTACTTCGTAGACTTTTATGTATAGGATTTCATACAAAAGACATTTGCCGTAAAAGACAACTATGCTTGTCTTAAGAGGCGACTAACGGGATCGGTTGGTCAAGCTCGCTGACTTGGTTGAAGCATGTCATCGATCCCTTTTGCGTGGATTCATGCTCATGATGTCAATCACTGGATTGTCTGGCCAAGACTCGATTATTTACAGACCGCCGTCATATAGCTGGAATATTGCTGAGTGCGGCGTTAAACATCAAACAAACAAACAAAACAAAAGACATTCTGTCCTAGTCAAGATAATCTTATTAATTTACCAGTTCTCCGACAATATGATGTATTCTACAATGTTCCAAGTTACCTCTGCAGTCGAAGCTCCTAGTGTCGAGCTTGGATTTTTCGAATTCCCGGTTGTATCGAACTCATCGGTGTACATATCAGCAGCAAGCTACTTCAGTGTTCTCACGTGACACGTGAAAATTGAGAAATGAGTAAAACGAATTAGGTCATGTTCTATTGTTTGAGACATGGCTTAAACAATGAGGCCAATCCAGATGGGGACCATGAGATGATACGTCAAAGTTGCCGCCCCGTTCACTACCGGCAGCCTTGGCACTGAAATTCAAGAACATCTTGAAATCTAGAGTTGCATCCGGTCCTGGTATCAATCTCTCATGACATGATGTTTGGTTTTCAAATATTCACTTTGTTGGTTGCCTCGAACACCGGATAACTCGAACTTTCCCCAGGGTCCTCACGACACGAGGTTCGACTGTATATAATACTGTAACTAAGAAATGGAATCTTTAATATAAAGTACACCTTTGTTATTATTATTATTACTATTATTGTTGTTGTTATTATATCTTATTACATGCATGTTGCATTGTGTTATATATGGAGTTTATTACACTCGCAAGTGTGTCACACTAATTTTACGAAACGAGTGTTGGAATTCTTGTTTTTCCTGAGCGAGTGCGAGAAGGTGAAAAGTGGATAGACAGACTGGTACTAGAAATGCATGATCGCAGATCCTCTAGCTAAGGTGGTGCTCGAATCGACACGAATCATTTACTTAAAACAGAGTTAATAAAGATTATGTTGTCTTTTGCACA